AATTTACTGGCCTTGGCGTTTGTGATTAAATGCTTCTTACATGTATCACACTCTACCAATCCTGCTATGTACATAGTTATATCTTCAATGCAGAAATTTAGTTTAATTAATCTTTGATAATAATCATGATCATTATTACCATTTTCTATTGCTATCGTCTGTTGAATAATTCCAGTAGTAGTTAGTATTTTTGTTTTTTCTAATAACGCACAGTTACCATGTTCAGATCCTATTATAGCATTATGAACTAGTAACCTTTTATATGCTGCTTGGAATTGCCGACATGTGGGATTATTATTATACCCGCTCTTACCACGTATAGCACTGAAAAATGTTTCCAAATGATCTTGGCTTAACTTATAAGTAAGAAGAAAATTCATGTGGCCCTTTGCTTGCAGGAGTTCAAACAATTCCAATGAAGGATATAAACCCATTAATAAAYCTCTAAATCCTGTTTTTCTTTTTGATGTAATAATCAGTGTTCCATCTAAGAACTTTAATTTTTGTATATATTCTGAAAATAAATTGGTGAATTCTTGATATTTTGCGAATGTGTCCTTTGTAATTGCATTATTATATGGGTTTTTTGAAAATAAACGTCTACTATTTAATATATCAAATGCATTGTTCATCATTTTACAGAATTGTGCTGTAGGACAACATCCTTTAAATTCAGGATCCTCATTACTTAGGTACGTTAATGCATCTCCCACACTATCAGATAAAACCTGTGCAGCAAGCCTTACATTCATTTTTTCATTGTTATAAAAAATATGCCTTGCCCCTTGCCGTTATTTTGTGGCTGCTCGTACCAGTAAGGCAGTAACTCGTAACCCGGCTTGTTCTATCATCAGCTGCTATGGTTCAGGGTAGTTCTTAGATAATATAGTATATACTAGTAAATGATCTAAGGGGTAGTTGACAGTTGTACGAAAAATGATAAGATATTTTTATTGCTAACTTCTTACATGTATGCCAACGTAACCGAATAAAATATCTCAATTATTCAAAATACGATCATAGATAATATAAGAATATTATATTATATTATCTATGGCATACAGTAATTACTGTATTATTAAAAAAAAAAAAAATGGCATACAGTAATTACTCTATTATCTATGGTTATAGCACAGGTTTTATATAATCTGTGGTTATAACTCGAAGCATAAACCACAGATAAACTAAGATATATTATTTGAGTTTTTTATTCGATGAATTATAAATTTTTATCAATACGGTGATAAAAGATTACTATTAGTGATAACATCTGAGTGCCTGACGCCGTCACGCCGACAATCATCGACAACAAGCTGCAGATGTCAGATAGTGTTGTTATTAATTTATTAATTAATAATTGTATTTTGTTATGACTAATGTGATTTATTAGTTGTCTTTAACTTTTAATATGACTGAAATGGAAAATTGTTATTTAATTATTTCTATTTTTTGCGGTATATTCACTGTAATTAATTGTACAAATATAGTGAAGCCTAGAGGCATCGCATTCGAACGTAAGGCTACCTACATATCATAATATTTTAATACTTTTTATGACTAAATCTTACTAATAGAACTACATTCATTGAAATTGGTATTTATTTTTTTAAGGAGCTTCACTTTATGTACCAGACAAAGATTTTTCGTGTTTTGACGGAAGTTATATAATTCCTTTTTCGTTAGTAAATGATGATTACTGTGATTGTCCAGATGCTAGTGATGAACCGGGTACTTCAGCTTGTCCTAATGGCACATTTCATTGTACCAATGCTGGTCACACATCACTTGTCATACCATCATCTCGAGTAAATGATGGAATCTGTGGTATGATAATAATTAATTAATAATAATATTTAAGTGTTATACGAATCTTTCAAAATGTAACACTTTTTCTATTTAAACARYTCTTAACATATTATTTCTACAATGTACTTTACGATATAAGGTATAATTATTTTTGTGTTATAAAATTTCAAAATTAAGTAATATTTAATACCAGTTGTGACATATACAGAATCTATTGATGTGGCACTTCTTAACACTATATCATATACATTATACATAATTACAGCTATTAATTATYACAACTAATTGTGAACTCTAATAGCTTTTATGAAATTTTAACTCTCCTTAAAAATATTWTTAAAACTAAATACTTTTTCAATGTAGATTGCTGTGATGGCTCCGATGAATGGGCAAATAATTTAAGGAAAGATACTTGTGATAACACATGTGAAGAACTTGGTCGAGCAGCGAGAGAAGAGGCTGAAAGAGTGCAAAAAATATTTGTGGCCGGTCATGAAATTCGTGCTCAATTAATTACTAGAGGAAAGGAACTCAGACTGGAAAAACAAGTAAATTAGTTTTTATCATAAAAAAAAAAAAAATGTTTTATAACACCTAATTTCTAGTAGCCAAATGCCATTGAAGATGTCTTCCTTTTAAGAATATAAATAAATAATTTTATTTTCTTATATTTAAATAAAATATTTGTACAGAAACTTGAATTTTATAATTTACATAGATACATTTATTTGTTAAAATAATTCTATTGTTGTAGTATTCTTAGAATAGGCCTTTTGCTGGCTGTCAACATGTGGCCGGTAAATTCAATAAACATTCCAGTATATTATAAAATAAATATGGGGTAATGTCGATTATTCTCWTTCTGCTAAATGTGTTATGTAGGAAAAATTGAAAAACAGGTGGGGGATATTGTTTCACTATGAAACATGTCTCACCATTCATATTTTATTTTTAAGTAATTATTATTATCTCTATCATCAGCATCATCAACTGTCGCTAACTCTTTGTTGTGATTGATTATTGATTTATGGTTTGTTTATTTTTGGCATAGTATAATAATATGGTAAATATAAGTATCAATAATAATATCATTACTGTGTCTGACTTATTTTTAGTTTTAACAATCACAGTTAAATTTTTAAAAGATTTAATATCTTTTATTCGTCAAATTAATACTATATAATAAACATAAAATGTGTTACTTATTAATTTTTTTCTTAATAGAATAGAATCACTGAACTTTTTGAAGAACAGAGGGATGCTGAACTYRCCAAAAATAATACATTGTATGCTAAAGAAACAGCTGAGGAAATTGAAAAGTCTGCATTAGAAAAATATAAAATAATGAATAATGAAAAAAAAAGACAAGAAAATGAAAA